AGTTCTCTGAACGGCTACAAGCTCTTTAGACGAATCCATGCTCTCCTCAGGATCTCTACCTGTTATAAATCGTAAGATCTAGATAGGTTCCGGCTCTGATACCAAATGAAAAACCTAGAGCACGGATATAATCTCAAAGATTCCAAACTGAACACCTTTATTGAAGCTCTTTAAACAAACTACACACTAACTTGTTTAATCAGGTTTACTTGACTTCACAACCTTGTGAATCAACACTGAACAACTTCAAACACACGAGACTCAAAACAATTTCTGCTCTCGTTGTCAAAACTCTAAAAACCGTACTCAACCTAAAACACCAGCCTCGTCTATTATAGTCCTAGACGATCTGATCTTTTAGCTTACAGATAACAATAAATCTATTATTCTACTTCCTAGAATCTCTCAGATTTATGTATATCCTATCATGGGATAATTCTTCACTTGCCACGTCACCACATGCGTTTGAATTAGTCCCGCCTAAACTCGAACTGAGCAATCTTGTAATTGATGAACACTTCACTGGTTTTCATGTCTCAAAAATATCCGAATACCATCCCTAGAGGTGCACATCAGTTTCAATACTGAACTTAGTTTCCATCAGAAAATTGCAGAACAAATCAAGGAACCCAAAACAAATGCTACTAATCAGAAATTACTTACTCGTATCAAGGAATCCATGATTCAGCGAAACATCATTATTTATGTGCCATCACCTCATCAATTGCTTCCTGCGGAAAGTGAGAGAATGAAATGGTCACCGAAAAAAGAGAAAAATATTGCATGGACTTTGAAAAGCTTCACCTTCTAAACAATATCAGGATTGGATCCAGAGTCAGGTATCAGCTATAAAACAAAGAGAGGGAGGCATATGAAACTGAAAGACTCAACAACATACATTTTCATAAAATGCCAAACAGTAAAATTTTACTTTCTCCCTAGTTCCTTTGGCTGAATGACCAACCAAGGTAACAATGAAATAACGAAAACCTCATAGGCTATTATAAATCTGAGAATCATACATTATCCCTTCATAGCCACCATTCATGTCATGAATTAGTAATAATGATATTGTTCCCTCTTTATTCACTATTGCTAATTCTACTTGGAGTTGACAATCATCCAAGAACAAAAAGACAGAAACTTTACGTGAGATTAGTTACGTAAGCAACCACCAAAACATCATAAGCAATAGAAGTCAAAGCCTTTTGGCAGATACCCTCATAATATTCTCCTAACTCAACCAAAATATCACTCACTGACTCTAAAGTCTAAAACTTTTTCTAGAACCCATTTAACAATTTAAAATTCTTAACATAACATTTTAAAACCAGTTCTCCCTGTAAAACAGGATTCATCAATGAAAGAGAAGGGGAACATAACATATCCTCATCAATGTCAACAGCCAAAACAATCTTTTTATCACCATTCCCTTACCAACTCCACGGCCACCATCCGCTATGTCAGTGGTTCCGCCGCAGCCGCGTTGTTCTTCCCTCGGCCCAGATCCCATGCCATGTAGAAGCCGCCGAGGCTGAGCCAAAGCTCGAACCTTTTTGTGAGTAGAATCAAAACAGCTTCTCAAAATTGGTGGCCTTTACGCCTTCATTGACGCGAGTGTTATTGTTATTGCAAAACTCAATAGGATTAAGCCTGTGAACGAAATCACCATTAATATATGTCTTCATTTATGTGGGAATGTTTGGTAATCAAAGAACATAATAGCCCCAATTTTCTTTTTGTTAAAGTGAATGACAAACCTTGAGGATTCATCGTAGGCATCTGTTTCGTCATCGTATCAAGGATTTGGCAGAAGGAAAGATTTGTAGATTTGGGTGGAGAGAAAGTATAATATACACAAGTTCCTTTCTAAAAATTAAAACCTAAGCCCCTGTTTCATCTCGAGGGTCCGAATCACCATGGCTTCTCCTTCCTCCGTCTTCTCCGTCCTCCGTCCTCCGTCTTCTCCTTCCTCTGTCTTCTTCTTCGTTTCTTCTTTCATCGGAACTAACAGATTACCAAATCCAATCCCGTACCTTCTTCTGTCCCTCCACTTCTCCACTAATTAGATGAAACGGATGTGAAGAGAAGAAAATCGAAGAAGTGGAAGACGAATAGAAAAGGAAGAGGAGATCGAGGAAATTAGGGTTTGTTTCGCAGATATTGCCTCTCCTGAACGAAACAGCGCCCCTCACCGAAACAGGCCGAGATGAAATAACGAAGCAGGCCTAAACTTATCGAAATCGAAGTCCAATCGCAACTGAGTTCAGATGAAGTGGGAAAATAGCATCTTTTCATTGGTTGAATTTCCAGGCCTACGTGGCATGGCTCAGAGGCTTTTATATTTACCTTTTATTTAGTGTTTTCTGCAAAAAAAAACCTCAATGTAGTTTTATTTTGAAAATTAAACCACGAACTCAAAAATGTATGGGTCAACCCTCTAAGTGCCAGTCAAACCGCAATATAACCCTCGGCCGTGTATATGTGTATTGACTATATATGTATAATTTTAACATTTATCAATACTACATCGTTTCGGCTGTAATTTTTAATGAAAAACTTTTGCGCACGCCTGAGTTCAAACCCTGAACCTTATACACAATCTGCATGCTACATAACCATTTCAGCTAACAGATATATTGATTCACTTAACAAACATAATTATCTATATTTCTACATTAATTCCGAAATGACTTTGTTTCTTATTTTTTTTCTTGGACATGCATGGGAGCTTGTGTAATGAATGTGGGGTCATTCTTGGATTATTACTCAAACATTTACTTTTTTTCGATTCTCTTTACTTATACAGTAAAACCTCTATAAATTAATAATGTTGGAAATTTAAAAATTTATTAATTTACAAAACTTCTTTATCAAGATTTTTTTTTTATTTTAAAATTTATTTATTCTAAGATAAAAATATTTGATTTTAATGTATAGACATTAATTATTATTTTAAATATTTTTAAATTTATATTAATTTAATTTTATTATTTGATGTATATAATATACATTGTATAGAATTTAAATGTGGTTTAGATATAATGTTACTAAAATCTCATCAAAAATATATTAAGTGTTAAGAAAATATAAAGATAATTTTATTGTGAATATAAAATAAAAATATAATGATAGGTTTTTAATTATATAAATATGTATACATATACAATTATTAGTTTATAATTTTAATGGGACCATATATTTACATAGTATTTTCTAAAATAATATTATCTTATTATTTTATCAATTTGTGTCAAATTTTGAACATGCCCAAGTTGGGACCGGTGAAATTTATTAATTTATGGATATTATTAATTTATCAAATATTAATATACATATTTACATATATAAGTAAGAACAATTATTATATTTTTTTATATTCACAATGAAATTATCTTTATATTTTCTTAACACTTAATATATTTTTGATGAGATTTTAGTAACATTATATCTAAAACCACATTTAAATTCTATACAGTATATATTATATACATCAAATAATATAATAGAATTAATATAAATGTAATTTTTTTAAAATAATAATTAATGTCTATACATTAAAATCAAATATTTTTTTATTAGAATAAATATATTTTAAAATAAAAAATATAAATAAGGAATTGTTTTTGTAAATTAATAAAATTTTAAATTCTGAACATTATTAATTTATAAAAGTTTTATTGTATAAGTAAAGAGAATAAAAAAAAAAGAGTAAATGTTTGAGTAACAATCCAAGGATGACCCCCACATTCATTACACAAGCTCCCATGTCCAAGGCAAAAATAAAAAACAAAGTCATTTCAGAATTAATTTAGAAATATATATAGTTGCGTTTGTTAAGTGAATAAATATATACGTTAGCTGAAATGGTTATGTAACATATAAATTGTGTATAAGGTTCATGGATCAAACCCAGTCGTGCACAACTTTTTCCATTAAAAATTACAGCCAAAACGACGTAGTATTGATAAATGTTAAAATTATACACTGTCAAATACACATATACACGGCCGAGAATTATAATGCGGTTTGACTGACACTTGGAGGGTTGACCCGTAGATTTTTGAGTTCGCGGTTTAATTTGCAAAAAAAAAACTATGTACATTGAAGTTTTTTTTTTTTTTGCAGAAAACCCTTTTATTTATAGTAGATTCTCTTATGCTATTTTGGAGGATTCATTTTCTATTTTTCAAAGACCAGAAATATTTTTTTTGGATATTTATCATGTTTGGTCAGTAATTCACCACCATTAATTACTTCGTATTAGTTTTGGAAGTTATATATAATTACTACAAAATACAACCAACTACACTGAATTACATCATTAATAATAATCACATAAATAATTGCTATTACGAGAAAAGAAAACATAACAAATAAGTGTAGATTTTTAAAAATTATAATAAAATTTCACTTTTTTAAAACATTTGAACTATAATACATCAAATGCCCCATAAATAAAATTTATAGCTACATTACAAAAATAGTTATGTTTTCTATTATTTTCGGTTTAGCCTAAATTTTGGTGGTCAAAAAAGAAAAATAATTACAGAGTTCATTATTTTAAAAATTTTGTTGATGTGAGTTTAAAAAAAAAACATAAAACACAACACATAAGGCCAAAATAACTCAGCTTTCTCTCAAACCATTTATGTCAATGGATTAGTTCAATCCAAAACTTGAAATAATAGATGTGATCTGAGAAAGGATTCATAAGTGCTAGCAGAGTTGAAGTTATCAAATTATGAGGAAATTTTCAATTTTGGAGGAACTCGGATCCAATTTTGATCTGAGAAAGGATTCAATATCAATTTTAAAAATAAGTCAATGAACGTGAATATCACGCGCTAACCAAAATAAAAAGGAAATTTTCAATTTTGGAGGAACTCGGATCCAAGTCGGCTTCTTCGCTTTCCTTATCCAACACGGCTAAGTTTCGTCGCGTCTTTATATAATCAAAACGAGACCTTTTTCTTCTTCATAAAAGTTCAAAACCTCCTCCCACAACGAAGACACATTCTCTCCCAATTCTTGAGATAATGAATTCGATGTTCAGTGCCTTCGATGCCATATCCGCAGAGATCATGGGGAAGAAGGTCACCGCTGCGTCTTACGTCTGCAACCCCACTGAACGCAACGCTGCTTCTTCCGGCCTTGGCGGTGGTCAAACCGCGTCTTCCCTGAAGAAAGTCGACGAAGCTACCAATGTGGCGAAGAAGCAGCCGAGGTATGCGCTGGAGTTCGACGGGATTCATTGCTTCGAGACCATTGTTCGTTCTTGATTCCAACCAAGATCACATCTTTCGCTGAGTCTTTTTTTTTTTTTTTTGTCGGATGCTTACATCATGTAAATACTCTTTTGGAAAATTTACAAATTCTTAATTATAATCATTCTTTTCTGATTGATTCATCTGTTTTTGCGGTTTACCATTGTTTCGTTTATTAAAGATGTATATATAAATAATACTTTTTTATTCTTCTAACCAACACTCGAATTATCATCAAGTTGAGATTTATGATTGATTTAGGAGGCAAAAATTGGGGGCTTTAGACGATCCATGAGCATCATCATCATAACCTAAGCAGCTACGCTAATCATCATCCATAACAAGAAGCTGAAGCTATACATTAACTTAGCCAACAAGCTTTTTATAGTTCAGGTACTGGTGTGCCATATTGCTCCTTGGACTTCTCCGCATCGTTGGTGTATTCCGAGTATCATATCCACAGATTTGCAGATATCGCTGCAGCTCCAGTCAAACGATGCTGCACTAGTTTTTCCTGCTTGACCCTTTCACTCAGGACAGCCTCAACATTTACTTTGGTCGATGGGCAATTTTTTTTTTTTTAACTTTTAAATATTTATATTTACTGAAATTTAAGTGTAGTTCCTTGTTTGTTTGTTGAATATGTGGGTATGGTTGGTTTAGACCATAAACCGACAGTCCCTAATAGCAACAACAAGAAAACTCAAGTTTTAGTAGGACCACTTTACCTCGTAATTTCCTAGTAAATGACCATTTAATAGAAACTTACGAGGAAACGCGTTTTCTCGAAACATGTTCATCGTAAAGCCTTTTTCCTCGTAAGGTCCTAGCTAATTTACGAGGAAACTTTTCCTTGTAAACGCGTGGATACGTATTTCATCGTAAAGTCCTCGTACATACTTCCTCGTAAAGTTATAGTCATCCATTTCCTCGTAAGCTCGCAATAATGCTTTACGAGGAACTTACTAGTAAAGTTTACGAGGACTTTATTTCGAAAAGATTAGGAAGAGTTTACTTCGAAATGTTTTTTTTCTATTAAAAAATATTAATTATAAAATTAAATATTATATTTTTTAAAAAATTAAAAAAACCAAATTATAAATAAAAAAGAAATAAAAAATATTTATAAATAACTAAATATTTAAGTTTTAAAATTCATAATATACAATTAAAAAAAAAACTACTGATGGTGCTCGTTAAATTGCCGAACGAAGTCATCCCGGCTCGCCAACTCCTCCTCGTCAATGTTGGTCGTCGGCTGTGACTGTGACGGTGGATGCTGTTGGGTTGGAAGCCCTCCGTTTTCCTGTCTAACACACAACATATCCGCCAATTACAGGTTTCCAACCACAAAAATATCCAGGACATCAGTGAGAGAACTCACATGAGATTGCGTCGCCTGCAACTCTGAGTACAACTGAGCACTGACATCGTGCTATTTCTGAGCATAAGACGATGTCGCTGTGGGGACATTTTTAACGGAACCAATCCCGATGACACGTCCCTTTTTCCTATGGGCGACTTGCAAATAAAAAGATTAATAACGTTAAAAAAATAAATTAAATAAATAATAAAAATAATAGAAAAAAAAATTATTTACCTCGTAAATCTTATCCACTTCAAGAGTGGATAATAAGACTGGTGTCCCAGACTGCTGTGGGAGTCGATTTCACCATACTGTCAAATAAATCGTAAATAAGGAAACTTCGGGAAAAACCCTAAGTTTCCAGAGGAACCGGCTATCTGCGAGAACCGCACAACGAAAATAAGAAAACGATAACTTAGAATAAAAATGAAAATAAGAGAGGTTTGAGAGCAAGAAGGTTCTTATTCCGAATCTGCGTTGAACTGGTTACAAAAAGAGTAGCCGTAAACGTAAGAACTTAGAAAACCCTAATTGAGACGCAGCTCGCTAACAGAAAAACGGAAAGATTCCTAAATGCTAATTTTGGTGGTGAGAGCTCTGAATTTCGCCTTTCTGCTTCTGCCCTAGACCTCCTCTTTATATACTCCTCGTCTTGGCTATCCGATCTTTCCATTTCGCCCAGATTTGACTTAAATCGGGAACTTTCCATTCTTCTCGATCCTTCCTTTTCTTCTGCGGAAATCTTCTATTTCTCTTCA